TTAGTGAAGTTTATCAATATAACGGTAATATATAAGTTGTTTCTGTGAGAACTTCGTTTGTATTTAAAAAAATTCTATTAAAGCAATATTTTTGAATATTGATTTTGTTTAGTGTATGACAAATTGATAATAGTATCCAAAACGGGACACCCTATAATTTTTATTTTTTTTTTTATAAGACTTTCTGCCCCGTTTTTTCAAGCGTACGAGCTGTCATACCTGTGCTTCTTGTATCTTGCCGCGCTCCTCATCGGTTGGCAACATATTCAATAGCTTATCGATGCCCTCTCGCGTCACCACCGTTGCGTCCATTTTCAATATCGCCGCTTTGATAGCGCGCGGTGGTGGTAACTTTGTCATCGCAATATTGATTGCATTCGAACGTTTATGATCCAATACGATAATCTCTTTGCTTTTATTCAGTTCTTGTTGTTTCTGGAATACGTTATGTAATAACCATTAGCAATATTATAAAAAATAAATAAAAATGTTCAGCAATTCAAATGAATAGTGTAAACATAAAATGAGAGAAAGTACGTTGGGTGAATACAAGATTTTATTAATTTATTCACAATCAAAGGTTATAGACAGTTGTGCTTGACAAACGATAACTCTGTGTACCAAACCATAATGTGTTGTTGTTGTGTTGAAAGCAAAGTTTTGAAAACAATAGAATTTATGTTGAAGCTTTGGTAAAGAAAAAACAATGTGAAAGTAATTATGTTGTTGTATGTAAAACCCTCTATATATAATACTATGAATCACTAATCATCCCATATACCCTGATTTTTACTAATCCTGACTTTAATTTAAAATAATTAAATAAATATTCATATTTAGTGATAAACCACTGACATAATTTTATGATAATTAAGCAATATTGTCCACTTAATTACATTAAATATCACGAACTTTGACCTACCTAAACGATTTAAAGTCAGCTGGAAAGTCGGAAATCATTATACAGGGTATATCAGGACAGAGAAATATCTGGGCTTGTTAAAATAGCTCAGGTATACTCGTTAACTTATTTTCAAGCAATTTAAAAATAAATAACTTACACACTGGCCGACATATTTTTGGTGTCACTACATATTGCTCACAGAAAAAGATGCTATCTAAGGGCAGAATTGCACCAATTCAACCCATTTTGGACACACAGGCATATTACATATTATTAGAAAAGGATTCTCTTCGAATTTCAATAATATACCTCACAGGTTGGTCGATATTTTCGGTAAAAAGTTAGTCATATGCACTAAAGTCCACAGGGCTTGAATAGCTATATTCCGATTTTGACAATTTTTAGTCATGACAAAAATGTAATGCCTCTGTTGCTTTTAGTTATTGATTTATCGTACTTTTAGTAGTTTTAGAGAATAGGATTTCACCTATTTTCACATTGTTGTAAGAAGTGTAGAAAAAACTTGTTCTGTGCAAATTTGGGTGATAGAGCTGGGATGGTTTGGAAGATGTATTTAAACCTTTTAAGGGGGGGTCTATGCACACTTTTTATAAATTTTCAAACCACACGTAGCTCTCGTTATTGCTATTCGCTTCGTATTAGTTTCATATCTTAAGTTGCAGCTTGGTTATGGCAGTTTATATGTTTTCGATTAATGACCTTTCGTGGGCGTGGCAGTGGTCTGGTGTGACAGCCACCCAGATTTTAACTCGTCTCATCATTCTGATGATTTATGTATAATAGGTATAACCCTATCTCGATGAGTTTTAGGTGATACACAACAACCGTTAGGTGAACTAAACTATTATACTCAGTAGCAACATGTTGCAAGAGTATAAAAATATACTATAAACAGATCAAAAATATCAAGCTGCATTTATATTAAAAATACCGTTTTCTTCTACAAAAAACAACATGAGGAAAAATGTAAAAATATTATCTGATTTCATCCCAAATGCATATCAAATACCGTTATCTAATCTAAATCTAGATTTTACTAAACTAAATCAAAGTAGAAGCTTATAACAAACAGGTGCTTTGTACATATGTGTATATATGTATACTTCAATCATAAATATAGTATTATATATATTTTCGAACCATTTCCTCAATGAGTGTTTAGTACCACTTATAAATACGTGGTAATCAGTAATCTTGACAAGAAAACACCAATCATAAGCAGTAACTCACAGGCTTAGATTTAGCTAATAATAAAAGCAACAACAAATCGTTTGTTCAGACAGTGATAAACCAGGCTTCATACATATATTATATAAGGATATCACAGATGTTCTGAATATGGAAGCGTAACATTGAAACTTACTTAAGATTAAAAAACAACAATAACACCAGAAATAAAAAAAAACGGGTAATCAAAAAAAGATTAGACACCTTTGAGCATTTTAGTGACTGAGATTGTGCAATTGCTTAACCAAGTGTAATTTGTGAATTTCACCAAAAAAAAAAATTTTAGCAACAAAAACTATTACATACAAACATACATATAGAAGGCAGACTAGAACTAGTGTAGTGTCTTGTGGAGAATGAGGAGATAGGCAATGCAGTCAATAATAAAGAACCAACACCAAAACTAGCAGAAACAAGGACCAAAATCGGAAAAAATCCTTTGCACTCACCTCCTATAATTTATTATTATTATTTTTTTTTGCATTTTAAAATTATAATTTTTTTGGTTTATAATTTTTAATTTTATATATATTTTTTTGTAGTTTAATTTAGTTGCATTCATTGCAAGCATTTCAAGACATTGTTTTCAACATAGTAGGTACATATAGTATATAGATCGATCCATAACAAATCCGTTGACATGTGGTAGAGTAGACACAAGTTGTTGGGTAGCATGTAGCAACATTGTGTTGTTTTCAATTTGCAATTGCATTTCATTTCATTGCAACAAATAAAACATAGAAAAGTAAACAGAAACAGAAATTTCATTGTATTTGTTTATTCACACATAAAAGTTTCAAAAAAAAACTTCAAAAGAGTTCAATACTTAAGAAAATATATATATGTAAAACCAACCACCGAAATCACCACAAAAAAAATACATTGAAATTGTTGCAAGAACAACATTTCACAGTTTCCACCCAAACAAGCTGTTAATCAAAATTTAAAGTTCCGTTATTTTTTATCGAAAACACACACTCACCTTAGTCATTAGATCTTTTGCTCTAGACTCGAAGAGATGCTCCAGTTTTTGCGTATCCACATTCGACGGTGGCAACTCATCCCAGATGGTTTTGCCAATCACAACGGGTATCATGTCCTCCCGCACTTCCTTCCAAAACAGTTTAACCTGATTGTAAATTAGAAATAATTATTATACTTATATTAATCAAACGATTTTTTTCAAGTATTATATTTTACAGAAACATACACTTAAATAAGTAAGAAATAAAGTATGGTATGCGTTCCTAAATGTAGGCAACGTTTTCTACTTAACATGCTAGCAACAAAAGCAGCAATGCCTAAATTAGGCCGCTTTTAGTGTAGACGCAAGCTTAAATTGTGTATGAGTATAGATAGTTTAATATTTGATTCAGATAGGGCTTTAAATATAGCGCTGCCTACACCAGGAAGCTCTTTGAAATACCTAATCGCACTTTTCAACGAAAGAACTTCAAATTTTCTTTTAAATAGTTTGCAACTTTCGTTAACACCTTAAACAAACTCATAATGCTTTATCGCTTCTAAAATTCCTACCTTAAAAATATTTTTTTCTACGCACCGTTTTCTTATTCTTTCTAATGGTGTTCGTGTTGCTCATATCACCATTCATCGAACCATTCATGGAGCTATTGGCACTATTCGTCATGCTGCCGTAACCACTATAGCTAAACATCGGCGGTGGCGCCATACTGCCCAGGCTATTCATGGGCGGTGGACACACAATGTGTGCTGGTGGCATCATTGGTGGCGGTATACCACCACCGAATGGCGGTGGTGGTGGCGGTATACCAGCGCCTAGACCACGTGGCGCCAACCCATCTTTCTCATCTTCCGAATTCAAATCGGTAAAGTCTAGATCACATAGATTAAGTGGGCGTGTCATATTGCGTACGAGTTCCTCCCAGTGCAGTTCGTTTTCGGATTTTTTCGGTTCCACCTTTTTGGCGTCTTGATCCAAGCTGGATGAGCTGAAAAATTAATAGAGGAGTGATTAATATTAATGAAAATTGAGTTATTGCGCGTATATGAGCTTTAGAAACTAAAACGTGCTAAGTTTTTTTAAGATTTAATACCATACTTATATCCCCCTTTTTTTAAAAATTAAGTCTTTTTTCTATTGTTTTTGAGATTTTCTGGTCTTTACTTTTAAAAGTCCAGACTTATCACCAAATTTTCTTAAGGTGTCTTCATTAATATTATCCCATAACTAAATTCTTCAAATTCTCTGGTACTTTTAGATAGAGAACAAACTTTTTAAACAACACAAGCAGACACACATCTCATTTTCCTGTGTTATTCCTTGAAGCCTTTCTTCAAGAAATGTTAATTGACCATGCTTTTGCAAAGACCAAAGATAACTTTTCAGTTATTATCTCGTCAATATCATCGACTGTCCGAAGCAATGTGTCTTCAATGAGCATCATCAAAGAATAAGACTGGCAGTTTTCAGAATCTTCTGAGTCCGGGGTATTCAAAAAAAGAAAAAAACCTTTATTGTATTTCTAGGCATAACTGAAATGGATCCGTAAAGTGTTGAAAAATGTAGGTTTTGAAACCAGTTCGTGGATTTTGCATAATCATAATCGTAATTTGCTCAAAAGTGTATCTTATTGTAATACCAAAGTCGATTCTTATTTTAAAGTTAGTAAAAATACTATGATTATAAGCGTTTAATAATTACTTCAAGATATCAGTTAACTAACAAGATTACAGAACAAAATTACTGATTATCGAAATCGTATCGGCCCTAAAGGTGATTAATTAAGGGTACATATGTACATATACACAAACCTCAAATAGGTAAATGAATTGAAACATTGTGAGAGGCTTATCTGCTTACCATACTATAACACATACATATTATATATGTATATATGATAGCCAGTATATACTAGTATTAAAAAGTCATAAAACTTTCAAACTAAACGAGCGATTACAGGTCAAACATTTTGCGAAAGCACATAAGTTATTTTTGTAAAAATAGAAAACTATTGCAAATTGATAAAAATTGCAAAAAGGAAATAACAATAACAACATAAAGTATAAAGCACTTGAACAGGCATATAAATGCCCATAGTCTGTCAGTTGCTACAACAGTTTCGTTCACGTTCTCCCACGTACCAGTGCAAGAAAAACACTTTTCAGCAACATGGATGTGCGTAGTCTTTGAAACGATAGCTCTATTTAAATAAATATAATATTTTCGCAATTTGCAGTTCAACACCGCCTGCGAAAAAGCCAAAGCTTTCACCAAGAAGCCCACCAACGCTGAGTTCTTGGAGTTCTACGGTCTCTTCAAGCAAGCCACAGTCGGTGATGTCAACATTCCCGCTCCCGGCGCTCTTGACTTGACGGCCAAGGCTAAATTCGACGCATGGAGCAAGCACAAGGGTTTGTCCCAGGATGCCGCCAAGGCTGCCTACATTGCCACTTATGAAAAATATGCTCCCAAATACGCTTAAATTATATGGTATATGGTTTTGAAAAATCTAATAAGTTATTTGGTTAATTTCTATTGGAATATGTAAAATATATGGATTGGAAAATTAAACAAATTTGTTTTACTTAGTATTGAATACTCATACTGCAGTTAAATGTACAAAAAAGTTTCAGATACTTAATTATTTAACAATATATGGCAGATAAAAAAATGCACTAACAATTTTTTATACGGAAAGCAGACTGAATAACGTATCGTACTTTAGTGAACAGAACGTAATTGAAAAAGAATTTTATATAATGCCTTTCAATTTGAAAACCATGAAATCTTTTTTACTTGCGAATTATACAATTTTTTATAATATCTTTAATTTTTCGAAAACCTCTAGCCATTTTTGCTATGAAATAAATGTTGGAATCTTTCTATGAAGATATATTGATGGTGGTGTTTGTTCTCATTGCGTTACCGTTATATTACAACCGAACTTCAAAAACACTCGTGTTCTACCATCGTCGTAAATATTACAGTTAAGAAACCTATGGTATGTTTTAGACATAATATATTGTGTAGAGCTTTAGCTTTATCCCAGTTGGTGATCATAATATTGTACATTGATGGTCAAATTTGGATCGAGACATTACTTTCATGGACGAGCTACATTGCTCTTTGAATATACATATCTGGTTAGTTTGATAAATAAATTTTTTTAAATCATTAATTTAAAAGTCAGTATCCTTGTATGCACTACTATCTAGAGATTCTAGAAGTTCAAACCATACAAAACCAAACTGCTAAAGACTAGATTAATACTAGTAATGGTAAAGCCAAAAGTAATCGGGGGCTTAAATCTATAGTATCGTATTAGAAGACATGCAAAGAAATTGTAATAAACTGCCTCGAATTCATATTTTTCATCCTAGGTGAGATAATGTTATCACTATACAATGTACAGGGTATATTAAGTTTGGCACGAAGTTTATAGCACCCAGAAGGAAACGTTTGATACCCTATAAAATGTATATATAAATGATTAACGTGGTATATAAATGATTAACGTAGTCGTTTTAGCCATATCCGTCTGCTTGTCCGTCTATCCAACTAGTCCTTCTGTTTCTGAAATAACGACCTAATTTTTTTTCTTTTATTTAAAAAAAATTCGCCTATGTAGGGTATTATAGCTTCGTTGCAGACAAAGTTAACGGGTTTTCTATACATGCTATGCTATACACAGATTTGGATTAACGCAATCTTCACAACTCGATCGCTAGGTCATATCAACCGATCAAAAGTATGACCATATATTGTACATCCCTCAAAGAGAGTAATTTAAAAGCCAACATTTTCAATATAACAGCAAGTCTATGCCATTAATTACAATATATAAATCAATAGACTTTTTGAATCATAAGTAAAACGATTAAATAAGTAATTTTTTAAAATTTTAACGAATCAAATATATTTTAACTTCATCAAAAGTTTACTAGCAGGCGTGTAATTTATAAATATTTCATTTAAGTATTAATAGCCTGTTAAGCCATAAAAGACTAAATGCAAAGGAAATTCCATATATATATATAAGATTTCTATAGCTAATCCATTATACTGCACTTAATAGCATAAATCAAAGACTGTATAAAATACAACTCTACAATCATTGCAATAATAAATAAATACGTCAATTTGATAAGATTTAGTTATATTCAAATAGTACAACTACCGGTATGAACTAACTACAGTTAGCTATATCCGTGGCTATAAAAGGCCGGAGCCCAAAGATTATATCGTCAGTTAAACCTTAGCCGCCTACAAAGTCAATAATGGATGTAAGTCAAATAATATACCTTAGAAACCATACGAGTGGAAGAGAGAGAGAGCGATTGCTTGATTATCTCCTTTTTATTATAATTTTCACTAATTAATTAATTTTCGTTTGGTATAGTTCAACACTGCCTGCGAAAAAGCCAAAGCTTTCACCAAGAAGCCCACCAACGCTGAGTTCTTGGAATTCTACGGTCTCTTCAAGCAAGCCACCGTCGGCGATGTCAACATTTCTGCTCCCGGCGCTCTTGACTTGACAGCCAAGGCTAAATTCGACGCATGGAGTAAGCACAAGGGTTTGTCCCAAGATGCCGCCAAGGCTGCCTACATTGCCACCTATGAGAAATACGCTCCCATTTATGCTTAAGGTGAAAGTTATGGAAATGATATTTATACAAATACTGTTAAAGTAGACGAAAAAATGGAATTTTAGGTAAAAAATAAAATGATTTGAAGTTAAATCGAAAAATAGATGTGAAGTGCCTCTGTTAATGTTTGAAAATTACGCTTAAAAGTTGAGCGGAGTGCGACTGTTATTTTGACCAACTGACCTTCGAAACTTATTGTTTTTTGTTGCAACAATATAAGGAATATTTCTAAAAGAAAGTTTCGAGAAAGGTCTAACTGTTTATTGTTGGAGAATCACAAAAGATGACTAAGTAAGTTTATTTAACGGTATATATTGAAGAAAAATAAACTCAATGAACGTTTGTACCTTTAACCAAATGGAAGAAAGTATTATCTAAGTTTAATATGAAATTCGGATATGTTAATAGATTCACCGCTGATCGGTAAGTTGCACACCCACTTCTATATATGATTACTAATAATTGTATGGATTTGCCTAACCGGTCGGCATTGCATAGGCAATAAAAAGTATATGGAGGTAAGTGTTGAAGAAGACTTTGTATCGCGGCTATAAAGCAATTAAATACGGTAAAATAAAAAACGTATGATTCAGGCGCACAAATTGAACTCTCTTATTCGAAATAAGAGAAAAACGAAAGTCAGCAAACAAAAAAGAAAAACACAAAATAGAGAGCCACCAAACTTTCGAATATATTAATCTTTACGACACTGATTATTTTACAACACTTGCCTATAAAAGACAAGGAGGTTTGAGCAGGTGGCACTTTTAGTCATACAAAAGCACTATTAAGAGGTTTCACCATGGATGTGAGTGCCAGTGTATTCAACTAAATTCAAATAGAATAAAAAAATTAAAATATTAAACTACTGATTTCAGTTCAACACTGCTACCGAAAAAGCGAAAGCCTTCAGCAAACGCCCAACCGATGAAGAGTTCTTGGAATTATACGGCCTTTACAAGCAGTCCACCGTTGGTGATGTGAACGTTGAACGTCCTGGTGCATTAGACTTGAAGGGCAAGGCCAAATGGGATTCATGGAACAAACACAAGGGTTTGTCCAAGGAAGAGGCACAAAAGGCTTACATTGCTATCTATGAAAAATATGCACCCAAATACGCTTAATTGAAGAACTCAGGGATAAATTATAGATTTTTTAATTTTGTAAAAATTTCAAAACTTTTTTCAGTTCTCAAAAAAATTACACAGATTAGGCGGTGACTTTATATTTAAAATAGTTTTAGTTTTGGAAGCTGATTTCATATAGCTGCTAGAGTTTAATAAGAAAGAAGGATATGTGTAAAAAAATCAATTTTCAATGCAATGGAAATCAGCTGTGTGAATACTTGGCTATAAGATCTTCAAAAACGAAGGTTTTCTGAAACATTACAAGGATTGGATAAAACCTTGTTGAAGAATACAGATCAAACAGATAAAAGCTGCGTTACAGTCAGATTATTAGAGTTTGTTGTGCTTATTGGGGGAAGGTTACAAATAATAAAATTTCTCTAGAGAACGTCGTGCTCTGATTTATCTAAATATCGTTTTTATCAACCGATTTGCCTCATATTCGAAATATAATATTGTTTCGCCTTCGATACGCCTTTCTTACCCGCTAAAAGACAGTCCTGAACAGAGAAATCTAACTCTTTCTAGATCGTTAATTAATAAGTTAATCTCTCATTGTTCAAATATATAATAGTTTTCAGAATGTTCTTCATATATACTTAATCTTAAAACAGCTTTGTTTGGACTAACTTTTATACATTCTTTTGTTGTTTGTTGTTGTATCAAAGATTCTCAAAATAGTTTTCGAAAACACTGCCAACAGAAAAGACTTTGGTCGGATCGCAGGCCAGGTATATTTCTTTTAAGTGAAACCGACTCTCATAGGCACGGACTTTGGGCACAAAGTAAATTATATAGATTAATGAAAAGTTTATCTAAATTAAAAAATCTAAACTCAAATAAAACTTACCGCGACATTTCGCCTTTACTTTTGCTCTTGGCAAGTCCCTCTTTGGCTTTAGATATCAGACCCGACATATCGCCAACAATGCGATTCTGCAGTTTCTCCTCATGCGTCGGACTCATTGGCATATTGCTAAGTTTCTGTGTAAGATCCTTCACAGTGTGATCACGTTTCAGCTGTTGCAAGAGTTTTCTATCCTCATTATCGGATTCTATGTGGGGAAGCGCATAAAAGGTACAGAAAAATTACGAAAATCAAGTACTAATAGAATCATAAAGAGATAATTAAGATGTCTTATTTAAAGAAGAAAATTTTGAAATATTTTGGACTGACATAAAGCGGTTAGGTAAAGAAGAAGAAGAAATCATCAAAAACCAAAACAAACAGATAGGTTTGTGAGAAGATCGTGAATGAAACGCAAAAAGCTGCACTTCAGCACGCGATAAACAATGATGTAACAATGAACTTTTTCGGGGTGATGAGAGAGAGAGAGAGAGAGAGAGAGTTGGCGCTCACCTGTTATTGCTAATACATCACCCATATTGAGAGAATCCATATCGACAGCGTTCATTTCTAATGAACCGTCTGCCGGGCACTGTAGACCGTATTGCGGTGGCGGCGGTGGTGGTGGTGTCGGCATCATAAAGTAGTGACCCAACAAATCTGGTGGCGGCGGCGGTGGAGGAGGTGGCGGCGGTGCTGCACGCGCATTGAATTTCGTGTGTGGCGCATTTATTGGTGATGACGGTGTTTCGGTTGTGAAGTCAGTGGATAAAGGGGTTTGTGGTGTTGAGAGGGACGAGATAGTTCTGCTGGGTGTAGAGGGTGTATTCATAGGTGTTTGACCACTTATGGGTACCGCGTAATGACATTCCATTGTTGTTGGCTCTTCGGTTAGGGTGTGTATTGGACTTGTTAAGGGTGTCATATTATGCTTGAGATTATATTCGTAGGTGTTTGGTGGCGTTTTTGGTGTGGATTGGGTGAAGTCGAAACCGTTTAGCGACTTTTTGGGGCTCAAGACGGCGGCCAGCACATTGTGTGCAGTTTGTATGGTTGGACTTTGTATTGAATTCTGATGTTGCAAAGTGGGCGTGACTGCTGGTTGTTGTTGATTCAGTTGTAATTGTTGTTGTTGTTGCTGTTGCTGTTGCAATTGATTTTGATTCTTTGGTGTGCTCAGCTGATTGTAATAGCTGTTCAGCCGATTGGCATCATTTTCGAATTTCTTATACGCCATGTTGTTGTTGTGATTGTTGTCCAACTGATCACCACCACGTTGTATATTCTTCATGATGCCGTTAATCACAGTCGCATTGCGTTCCATTAGCAAATTCTTTTTGGTTAAAAACTCCGGTGCAGTATGCAATTTACTATTATTATTGTTGTTGTTGTTGTTGTTGCTGTGCAGCGGATTCGCGTTGATGTTGTTGTTGATGATAGAAATGGTGTTGCTGCCCAACAAATGTCTGGTGGGACTCAACAAACTGTTGCTATTGTTCGTGTTATTGTTGATGTTACACAAATTGTTGTTGCTGTTGTTATTGTTGGTGGTTGCACTAATATCACTCATGTTCGTAGTGGAATTTGTATTTATGAGATTGATGTTGTTGTTAGTGGCATTGGCGGTGGTGTTGCTGCTAGCAATGTTTATGGTGTGATTGCCATGAATATTGTTGCTGTTGTTGTTGTGATTTTTATTTTGATTTATGCTAATGCTAGCTTCATTGGTTAAATTTAATGATTCTGGTGGACTATCGCCCATTTTCACCGTTGCTGGTATGGCGGTGACAATTTGCCCTACACATCGACACAAATGACAGGTGGTGGCAATGATTGCAATGAAAATGATGGAAGCGCATATGTGTATGGTTGTTTTTTTTTGTTGTTTTTTTTATTTTTTGCAATTTACATTTTTACATATCCAATATGGGCAGGCAGCGCATTTTATTATATTATATAAGTCAACATATTTTTATTGTTGTTGTTGTTAATCGAGACAGGCGTACAATTGGAAAGTTAGAAAAAAATTAAATGTATAAAAAAAGTGTTAGTATGCCGTAAAAATATACTAAATATACGGCAAAAAAAGCTTGGGTTTTTAAAACCACTCAAAAATTTCATTGAAAAACACTTTCTGCTCAACTCAAACAAAGCTGTACTCACCGATTTCCTCGCGTCTCTCCAATGCGGCGAAAATGCCGTTCGCCACAGCCTCTTGCTGCTCCTTGAGGAAGCTTTTGTGGCGTTCTGCGCGTTCGCGACGTCTACGCAAGCCGGGCGTTACACCTACAGCGTCACGCGCTATGCGTTTCACAAGTTCATAATATTTAACACAGTTAATACCGTTATGCAATACAAACACTCATTTTCATACACACCTTTCTCACCGTTAAAAACGCCATTCGCCGCATATTCGGCGGAGTTCGTTGAACCCGAACTATCCTCGTCCAACACACCATGTGTCGGTGTCATTCGCTTTGGTGACGCTATCACTCTGCTAACATGTGGACTCGTGCCGGTGCTGTGACGTCGCGATTTGCGTCGCTCGGCTGTGTCGGTGCTTTGGCGGTGACGTTGGGTCTTGCGCAGCGAGTTCTCCGGCAAGCGTATGCCCTCCGCCTCGCCATCCTCGAATCTGAAATTTTGCAAATATGACATATATACCCGCTGAGCACTGTGGTTTTGTGGCATACTCACTTCAATACTGCCTCGTAAAGCTGCAATTGATCCAACAGATCCAGATCTGTGCCCGGTTTGGACATATAACGCTGTATCACCGATTCCATGCCTTGTTGTTCCAGCAAATCGCTTTCATCGTAAAAGCTATCCTGATCATTTAAGCCAGCTAGGGTTTTGTTGATCAACGATGTGGCATAGATGACTAGTTCGGCGTCAGCGTTGTCATAGTCTTTTAAAAGTCTGTTGAGAAAATAAAGAAACAATATTTTATTATCGAAAAATGTTTTAAATTCACTTTATTCTGCTATTGCCAGGGGATTAGGTTCGGTCGAAAATATTTACGTACATTTGTTTATTTTGTATAAGTTACTTATTTCAAATATATATTATCAATTTTCATAATACATATGACTCAAGTCAAGAGCTGACAAGTCAAAAGCAAGCAGTGCGACAAAATGTTTTTAGATCAATTCTCTTCAGATACCTTTTGCGATACGAGCTCGTGTAGAAAGACAAGCTGAGCCACAGGCTATTAGAAGAGGATGAAAGCTCAAGAGCAATTGCAGGAGAAAGAAATTGGAAAAATGTTTTTGATTAATTTATTATTAGTGATAGGCGTTTTAACTGGATATTGTCCGATTGGCACAATCGTGGTGAGGCTAAAGATTTTGGAGTACGCAACATGTCAAAGTTACATGGAGGAAAATGAGGTGAAAACATGTAAACACTTTTTCTGCCACTGTCCAGCTTTTGCCAGACTAAGCTTGAAGCATCTCGCTTGCCATATTTTTTATTAACCTGGCTGGAATTGCCCCAATAGATTTGTGACAGGCTCTAGGCGTTTAGTCGATATCCGACGGTCTTTTTGATCCATATCAAGGAATTCTGGGCAACACCGAATAGGCGTCTCTAGCGGTTCAAGTAGGATTATTGATGGCCTCACGACAAATCAGTATATTTACCTAACCTAACTTAAAATATTATTAGTGTCAGAAAACAGCAAAAAATTGTATTTCTAGTAGCTTCTTAAGGTATTACCGCAACCCAAAATTTGAAAACTTCAGTTTAAGAACTCGTATGAAAGTACATCTTTATAATAACGCAGATTCTGCACTTTACGCAAAAATATTGTTGGAAATCGCGACGTTGAGGATAAAGGTTTTATTTCACTTTCATAAAAAGCTGATTATTATTTTATCAGAAAAATTTTTAGTGTTTAAAAAAATATAATAATATTTTAGTACGCTTGTCGAATTATTGTTTTGTATTAAATTTTTTGGGCTGATCTATCAAACAAGTAAAATGAAATTATTCAATGCATTTACTGGGATTAACTTACATTAGTCTTATCTTATCTAAAACTTTCAATTGTACATAAAGGCATGTACTTTTCTTTTAGTTTTGCTATAATACAGGAACTATCTTAGTCAAATACCTTAGCCTAACTTAAGCTGTGAACATCTCAAATACGCTTTGTTTTAAATTCGAAAAGTACTACTTCTTCAACATTACCAGCTTCATAGCATTGAATAAGAGTACGTGCTAGTATTATCCTTTATCTTTTAAAAGTCATTAATAGAAAGGTGTAAATACCTGTTCGAACACTAGCCACAAGTTTGACTAATCAGTATTTCATGCATAAGAAGTACTAGTTTAAAATAGGCTAAGAAATAACTAGTTCATTTTGGAGCAAAATTTTGGTTTTTATTTAAAATATTAGAAATAAGCAGCTAAAAAACCAAATTTTTAATAAGAGAGAACAATTTATTTAATTGTCACTAAAATATAGCAAGCTTTGTATTAAGACTCTTCTCTGTCCAATTTTAAATTGTGTTTGAAATGAATCGATACATATATGTTAAAATTGGTATAGGTCTGAAATTAATTAAAACTAATTCGACTTCATTCCATAAGACGTTATAAAGAGTTCGGAAACAAACTTCATTGTATTGTTGCCAATCTCCTTCAGAGCAGCCTATAAGTATGCAACACAAGCAGTTGAAGCAATAAATGTTGCTAGTCGCTCTAGTGTGGTGGTTTTTTTTTAGCAACATTTGCTTATGTATTCAGACACATGTATCTATGACAACCAGAGAATAAATGTTGCTAAGTTTGATGTTGCTTGAGTTTGAAGCAACACTTATCAACAAATAATACCAGATTATGGTCATACATACTTACAAGTATATGAGGCTAGGCTATAATTATTGTTAAAAACTAAAGTTAATTACAATAACAAATACTGAGGTATAACATGCTGGTAAATCGCTTATAACATTTTTAATCAGTGGTGTGTTTTATAATTATAAAATTTGGTTTAAGTGATTTCATTGTTTGCTTTATTGCG